ATTCAAGATTAATTTGGCCAAGCTATTTTAACATTTAAAACCCTAATCAAGAAACATCAAGAATGAATCCAATCAATCGAATAACACTAGAGAACTAATTACATATCTGAATTCTCATGAAACATTATTCAATTACTAACAAGAAAGAGAAATTAATGGACAATATTGCATGAAACCCTAGCTGAATTTGGTTACCACTTGCGTAGAACCAAAGAAGAAGACAACCTAAAGTCTTGATTGATCTCCGATCTCCTTGAATGGCTTCTTCTCCAATTTCAAATTCAGCAATCCTCTCTTCTCTCCTCTTCTTGCTTCTCTCTTCTCTTAATTTTCTAAGAAAGGGTTCGAACCCCTTTTCCCTCTTTTTCTTCTCCTTTTATAGTGTTCTTTTCAACCCTCTCTCTCTTCTAAAAGTTTGCCGCCTTTAGAAGCTCCCCTTGGGCTGCAATTGGGCCTCCCACTTGGTGGGGCGAATGGTCTCCCTTGGAGAGCTTCGGCTAGGCTCTCTCCTTGGGTTCCCCCATAGAGTGTTGCATGGGCCTTGCTTCTTAGGATTCTTGGTTGGGCCTTTCTTCTAGTTGGGTCGAATTGCTTCCACTTTTGCCCCTTTTATATGGTTTTATGCTATCTTCCCTCTAAGCTGGTCCACATTCTTAATTTCCTGAAATCAACCTAAATTAGGGTAAGAAACTATACAAATCAACATCAAAACCATGCATAAAACATTAGAAATTATGTGTAGCTTGCGCACACATCACCTCCCATCCAATGAATATAACATGTAATGATAGTTCTTTTTCCATTACATTGTCAACTGAGTATTAATTGTATACTTGTAATTGCAGGTGCCAATGGACCGAGTTTGGTTGGACCCTATCCGACTCAAAACCAATTTGGACAGGCTAGATAGTCCAATAAAACAATATTGAACTAGACTAGTCCAGACCTAATTGACAAGGTCCATTTGTAAGGGGACTCTCATATTGGAGCATATCAAATTGGACCAATATCCAATCCATTGACGACCCTATTTGTAAACAATCTATTAGACTTTCTTGTGTTTGATGTTAGTTTTAAATTTATTTAATTTTCTTTCTTATTGCATTAAGGATGGATGAAGTTGGTGCTAAAAATGCAAATGTACTTGAAAGCCCTAGTGAACCATCTACCGTATCTAGCTCTACTGGAAAAAGGGTTAGGTCCAAAGCATGGGATCATTTTAAGAAAATAAAATTGGATTTAGGGAGCAAAGAATTATTTGTAAGCATTGTAGAAAACAATATTAGGAGGAAGTTATAAAGGAATAAACCACCTTTTAGGGTATGTACCAAAATGTCCTAAATTAAAACAAAAGGGCACAAGTGAATAAGAAATTGTAGAAAACTTCAAATTTCACCAAGATAGGGGCCAAATGGACTTAACAAAGATGACAATGAAGCATGGACATCTTTTTAGTATAGTTGAAGAAGAGTTATTTCAGATATTTGTCAATAATCTTCAGCCATCATTTATGTTTGTTTATAGAAATACAATAAAGAATGATGTCATGGAGATTTACTTAGATGAAAAGGAGAGGCTATACAAATACTTTGATGATTTGGAATGTCAAATTAGCTTAATCGCCGATATGTGGACTTTGAAACAAAATTTGGGGTATTGTTGTTTAACAACACACTTTATAGATGATGGGTGAGAGCTGAAGAAGAAAATTATTACCTTTATGGTAGTTACGTGTCCCCATGATGGAACACTCTGTATGAAGTTGTTATGAGAGATTGTTAACTTGGAACAGTGATAAAAAATATGTTCTATAACGGTTGACAATGCCTCTAACAATGATGTTATGGTTAGGGAGCTTAGGAATCACCTCTATGTTAAGGTTTTGCTCCCATTGCATGGTGACCTATTTTATGTGAGATGTGTTGCTCACATCTTAAACCTTATTGTGCAAGATGGTTTGAGAGAAGTATCACCATTGTTATATAATATTTGAGAAAGTGCTAAATATGTAAGGCTAACACCCTATAAGAAGCAAAAAATTGACAATGCAAGAAGCCAAACAAAAGTACAACATAAGAGAGGGGTGGTTGTTGATTGTCCAACACGATGGAACTTTAGAGTTAAAGGAAGAATTTTGTCAACTAGTTGAGCTTGATTGTGACTATAAGAATCTACCATCTGATGAAGAATGGGAAATGGGGGTAGTAGTATGAGATTGCTTGCAAGTTTTTTATATCTGCACAAAAAATTTCTCAAGTACTATTTTCCCAACCTCAAATGTATTTTTTTTCTGATATTTGCACAATCAAGCTTTTATTGCTTCAGTGGTTAGATAATGAATATGAGTATGTTCGTTCAATGGCAAATAGAATGAATAAAACATTTGATAAATATTGGGATGAATGTTCTTTGGTTCTTGCGATTGTCGTTGTCTGTAATCCCAGGTTTAAGATGGAGATTGTAATATATTACTACAATCCCATTTATGGAGAGACTACCGAGAGACATGTTACAAGAATTAGAGAGACACTAAATGACCTATATTCAGAGTATGGGTTTTAATATTGAGGATAGGTCACTTGAAGGCCATAGTATTGCATCACAACCATTGAGGATTTGTGGTGTTATAGATTTTTTGAGTGGTTTTGATTGATGGTTGGCTAATGAGAATCCATAATGTTCTCTTGGGACTCAAAAGTTAAAGTTGGATCTTTATCTTGAAGAAAAACTATTTCCTAGAGGTGAAGAGTCTGATATTTTGAGATTCTAGCAAGTTGGTGGTCCCAAGTTTCCAAACTCTCTAGATTAGCACGAGATATTTTGGCAATTCCAGTATCCACTAGAGCATTCGAGGGAAAATTCAGTACCGGGGGCAGAATAGTGGATCAACATTGTACTTCATTACTTCTAGAGACTGTAGAGGCTTTGGTTTGTAGAAAAGACTGGTTATAAGCTCATACTACAAAAAGTAAGTTAAAATTTGGATCTTGAAGTAATTGTTATCTTTCCTATATGTTTTTGTTTCTAATATGTGTTTTTGGTTGTGTATTATTATTTCTAGAATTGGATCTTGAAGCAACTACTACCTCTCCTATATGTGTGGCTTCTTCAACTGAAACTAACCGAACATGTAAGTTATGGCAAATGGTCTATGATTAAATTATTGATTTGCAAAATGTTTGTCTTTATATAATTTAACTAAGCAAATGTTTTTGTTTCAGGATATTGGAGCTTATGCCATGCATCTATTTTGGACATTTTTGCTTTTTTTTCTTATATTTTTTATAAAATTTTTGCTTATAAAATTTGGATTGGATTGGACCTAGCCCATTTGTAATGGTTTATAGTTGTCTAGGTTGGGTTGAACCAATATCTAGTCTATTGACAAAAGATAAGAGTGGGGCTGTGAGGTTGTCAATGGACTAGGTTTGGGTTGGAGACAATCTGAATTAAAACCAAATTGAATAAGTTGGAAAGTCCAATAGGACAGAGGGTTGGATTGGACCAGTCCAATCCAGTCCAGGTTGAACATGTTGAACAGTTCAATAAGTCAATGGATTGGATTGGACAAGTCCAATTTGGTCCAGGTTGAAAAGTCCAATAAGACAATGGATTGGACCAGTTCAATCCATTCAAAGTTGAACAATCCAATATGACAGTGGATTGGGTTGGACTTGTCTAATTTGGTCCATGTTGAACAATCTAATTCGGTCTACAGCACCCATCTAATTTTATAGTGCTTTGTTGGGTTCAAGCTTTCTTTGAAATTACTGCATGTAAATTCTGCTTTCTGAAGCAGAATGTCCGCGAATTTTAATCTATTTATCACTTCTGTAAATTCTGCTTTCTCTGACCCACTTATGGTTTAACTTAAAACTAGAAAAATAAAAGCAAAATAAGAACTAGGCTCACTTCCACTATAAGGAAAAGAAGTAGAGGAATCCCTAGCGTCTCTAACTATTTCTATCTCTATAGTATTATTGGACTTCTTAGTCAGAGTGTGAGTGGGTTAGAGATGGTTCATTTGATAACCACCATTTTGTGGGATGGCATTAAGTTAATTGTGAAGTTTGGTCAGCACTAAACAACTGCAATGGTTTGGAGAGAAATGATCACTCATAAAAGAACTTTCAATAGCACAGTATTCATCCATTTGATGAGAACTGCTCTATTGTCTCCCTTCAATTTGGAATCTTTATAACATTGTCATAGGTCCATATCCTATTTGGATGAGGCTTCCGGAGTTGTCGAGATGAGGTTACCTGTTAAGGTTTTTGGGGTGATTCATCTTCCTCGATAGAATTACTTTTTATGTTCGTACAAAACTCTCCTTCTTGGTCATGTGTATCTATTCCACGTGATGCCGATATGGGTAAGGAGATAAAATGTCCGCAACCGCTGCCAAATGGCATCCATGGCCAGATCAACCATAACTCAAAGAGTAATAGGATAAAAAAGAACAAAGGTTTGAATGAGTACCAAAACAACAATAAGAACAACTTCAAAGGAAAATTTACGCCAAAAACAGAAACGGAAGCATATAAAACATATTAAATCGATGTGTAACTAAACGGAAGAGGCAGAGTGATGGGCACTTCCCTGATTCCCTTGCGCTTCTCTCCACGTTGCTTCCCCCCAGTTCTCAGAATTCTGAATATATGAAGATAGATGATTCCATAAATCACACGATAGAGTCAAAAAAATCAACGGTCAACTGCTAGGGGATCTTCGATCAGAGGTCAAAAAATCAGGAAATCATCTCCCTCCAAAAGATTTAAACAACTATTAAAAAAAGGCACTAAGCGAGAGCGTGGTGGACCACCGATCATCTGCCTCACACGTCATCGAACTTCCCATCACTCGTTCACAGTTCTACTTTCCACCTGATTCAATCTTATAGCCACGTGTCATAAAGGTAAAGCGAGTGGGCTAAGGCATCTGGTAAAGCGACTGTGAGTTCGTTTCTCCTGAAAGGAACATACGGTGTTGGAACTCGTTCACAGTTCTTACTTCATCAGCGTTATATCTGGAGACTGGAGAGGACAAATGTGGTCCGGGAGAGACGGGGACGACCGATCGGTGATTGGAGTAATAAATTTTCTTCTATTCGGTTTCGTGACTTTCGTCTTCACTTCTCCGTCTTCACCTGCCGTGACAGAAGCGAGTAAAAAGAGCGGAGACCCAAAATTACCATTTTACCACTATTGCTGCTTCTCAACCCAATCTCCAACAAAATCAATCAAATCTTTCTCAACAAGCTTAATTCGTCACAGAGAGAGAGAGAGAGAGGAGAGAGAGAGAGGGATTTGGTTGTTCTGTTTTCCCAGTTCAGATCTCGGCTGTTGCTTGCCGGAGTTCGGTGTCTTATTGGGTCGCCAATGTGGATGGAAGTTGGGGTGGGGCAGGGGTGATGAGATGGGAGAATCAGGAAGGTTCGGTGGTTGAGATGTTTGGTAGTTGTAGAGTGCGTTATGGTGGAATTGAGGATCGTTTGGATGTCCTAATTTCAGTGGCACTGTGGCAAAAATGTCAGCTCCGTTGGCGACTTGCGAGAGTCCGAGAGCTGGAGTTCCGAATACGGTATCTTTTTTTTTGGCTGCTGTTCGAAATTTTGTATTTAACTGTTCGTGCAGTTCGAGTATATGGTGGTGGGAGTGCTATAATGCTGGAATGGTCGCCTTCTTTTTTTTTTTTTTGTTTGGCGATCTTTTGATGGGTTGGTTGGAAAAGGTATTCAGATGATGTTGTTTTTGCTAAATTTACTGGTGTAGTGGGGCTTATATTTCTTATTAATGGGAGAAGGTGTGATCAGGCTTGTGTATTTTCCGTCAGTGGAATACATGAACTAATACTGAAACTCTATTTTGCAATTAAGATGCTGATTTGGATCACAAGTTATCGCTTTATGCTGTTTAGTTCAAATTTCATGAAATAGATTTCTTAAGAATGGATGGAATCTGCTGACTGTTTGCATTGTTCTGAAATCCATTTTGCGTTTGCAAATATCGGGCTCTAATTTGGAACATTTTATCTTTGTTTTGTCACCCTCTTTGGGTCAAAAGATTTAAGTTTTGATTATTCATCATGCCTGTGGTGATTTTTCAATTACAACTCATTGGTTTTGGTTCTGCTTAAGGTTGGATATCTTGCTCCATTTGCATATTCATGCTAGTTTGTATTGTGTTGGATAGATTCTGGGCGAGTTTGCACATGAGTTATTTCTAATGTTCGACTTTATTCTACAGGTATTCAAGAGTGGGCCTCTTTTCATTTCATCAAAAGGTTAGTAATTTGTTTAGCAATTCTTTTGAGCTTCTTCTAAGCTTAGATGATTTCTTAAACTTTTTACTTCTGGTGGCTTTTTCCCACATTGAAATAGATGCTCGGAACATTTGTTTCTTGTGTATCAATATGTGAAATTGTGAATTCATGTACCTTTGAGGACTTGACTTAGTGTAGTCAAGATATGAGACCTACAATTCTTCATAGAATTCCTCCCACTAAGTGTTCGTGCTTAATGTCATCATTGTATGAGGGGTCCACTGTTTGGGCTAGGGCTGCCCATGGCACTTCTTTTGAGTGGTATTCTTTGCACTACTTCATTTATTTATTTGGATAAGCAATAATCCTTGGCACTTTGGTGAATAGTTTGTACTTGGTCCTATACACAATTATCAGTACACATTTCTTCTCGCTAATAAAAATCTCCCCTTACCATTGGATTGGATTTTTAGGTGTCAATAAAGGTCTCTTTGATTCTAACCTTCACAAATTTGGTTGCTATTACGTTTAGAACCAACTTGGGACTGGTCAAACATCTATGAACTGCATGCTTTACCCTTGCATTTTCTGACCTTTTCGAGGCATTGTTTAATTTTTCTTTTCTTCACCTTATTCTTTTATTATTTTGAAAATCTGTTACGGGTATTTGCATTATATATTGCTGACAACCTTAGTGTCCTTCTGGATATCATGTTTAATGTTTGCAGGGATAGGTTGGAAGTCATGGAAGAAGCGTTGGTTCATTCTCACACGGACATCTTTGGTTTTCTTCAAAAATGATCCTGTCAGTTATCAAACAACCATATGCTCCTGGTCTTTTTCTTTCTTTTCTTTTTTCTTTTTAAACCTAAAGGTTAATTGTATCACTAAGTGTATGCATATGCAGTTTACTCAATGGGATCTTGATATTAGTTACCCACCAAAATCCAGATACTAGTTAGGTATTAAGCATGCAGCATATTCTTCCCATGAGTTGCTTTCAATTTACTATGTATAAATATTTCAAATTTTGGTGAAATATCAGGGAAATTTCATTATTTTTGCCAAAATCAATTGAAAACAATCAATGACATAAAAAATGCAAAACCACATTTTTGTGTAAAAATAAGAAAAAAGTATTTGTATTTACTGATTCTAGACCTTTGAATTAACAAGATGAATTAGGTTTTCAGAATATAAAGATCTTTTTTAAACTTTTAGTTGGATGATTATTTTAAGAATAATCAATTCCTTGTAATAATTGTATGATGATATAGATCATAGTAATAATTAATATGGCAACATAGATATTATCATAAAAGACGTCCAAGTGAAGGACTTAGGTTATAAATATGTTTTGGTTTTTATAGATTCTTATCTTACACTCAAATAATTAAATGTTTGGCAGAACTGAGCCGGAGTCCCTTTACTAGGCTTAAAACTTACTATTTCATATCACCCGATAGACCTTTGAAAGTGACTGTAAGAAGATGATAAAATCTAATGGAAGACCATTATAACGCAGTCTTAGGTAGTATGGGGAGAGGAGAACAAAATAATTTCTGAGAATAAATCATCTTCATTCAAAGGAGCAACCAAAAAACTTATGAGAATAAGGAGTTGTACTTTGGTTCTCCTATACTTGAGGAACATTAGGTATATTCTCTTCTAAGTTACCAGGAAAAGAACAAAATTAATAAAATTGGAACTAGGTTGTCAGGAAAAGAAAGAATGAGTCATTGTCATTCGAAGAGCTGAGAAGGTGTATTTTCTTCTAAGTACTTGGGTGTTGGCTTTAGATGGTTTCTAGGGGATCTTGTTAGTGATTTAAATCATCGCATAGGCGAGGCACATTTTAGGTTAGGTGCCTCGCCCAGGTCCTAGGCGTAGCACTTTCAAAAAGCGCATGCTTGGTGCACCTAGGCATGCGCCTGATGCGCCTTACGCCTTAGCCTAGGTTTGTGCCTTTTGAAAATTTTATGCTTTTTTTGAACCTACCAACCACACCCCTCGAGGCAAGACCAAACAAGTCCATGTTAGGGTCTTAAATTCTTAATTTTCACACAAATAATAATTTTATAATTTTAAATGCCTTTTAAGAAGATATTTTATTAAGATGAATGAATGAACAACATTAGCAAATAGGGGTTCTTGGAGCTTCACTTGCTCACTGAAGCTCCGAGAACCCCCTATTTGCTAATGTTGTTCATTCAGTCATCTTAATAAAATATCTTCTTAAATGGCAATGAAAATTATAAAATCATTATTTTTTTGTGTGAAAATTAAGAATTTAAGACCTAACATGGACTTGTTTGGGATTGCCTCGAGGGGCATGGCACAAATGTGGCTTGTAGAATCAGGAATGTAATATGTTTTACATCACATTAGCTACTTGAAGTAATGCAATTGAGGAAAAAAAAGAGATTGTGGATTTTACATGCTTGAAAATGTTTTATATGTTTGATTTTATTTTTAAATTTTCATTTGAATATGCTTTACATGTTATGTTTATGTATTTTAATGTTAGATAATAGGTTTTTTAAAACATTTATTTTAAAATTTAAGTTTACATTTTTATTAATATTATGTTTGATATTTTTTATTTTATTTTTTTTTTGTATTTTCGTGCTTTGCTTCAAAAAGGCGCATGCCTCATCTTGTGCCTTGTGCCTCGGGCACAAATTGGTCCCTGCACCTTTTTTGCACCTTGCGCTTTTAAAACACTGGATCTTGTTTGACAACATGAGGCAGTATCTGTTAGAGATCCTTTCTCTAATAGAAGGAAATAAGAGTGCTGTCTCCAAGCAATGATTATGTTTGGTGTATTACGAAGTACATTTATAGGGGATCGATCTAGGGAAGATGACAAAGAAGGGAAAGACTTCCTCTAATCTGAGGAGATCGGTGGCTTTAGAAATGTTTCAGAGGAAGTCTTGGAAAGTGACATTGTAATCACTGTTACAGTGGGTGAAAAGGGGTTGATAAAGGATTCGCTGGTCATTGTTTTGGATGAATTGTTGGGTAATGCAGTTCCAAGCAAAGGGAAAAACTTAGCAGAAGCAGTGCTTGAAGGAAATAAGCTAGAGCTGAAGGTATGCTTCTCTAACCCTAATACTGGAAATAATATCAACAATAATTGTACTGAAGTTTAGAGTGGTGGAAGTGGGGAGAAATCGAAAAGAGTGGTGGAAGGGGAAGAATCCGAATTTGAAGGTGTGAGGTTGGTGTCTCTTCAAGGAAAAGCAGGGGAGGTTCTTGGTTGTGACTGGTAATTCGATGCCAAAGAATTTTGTTATCATATCGGATCATTGCTCAGGTTCTGGGTCAAAGGGGGATTTTGCTCTTGCTGAAGAAGATGGTTTAGGCTTTCAGGGGCTTTGGTATCTCAGTTTCTCTAGAGATAGGTGGGTTCATAGATCGAGGTAAAGAGAGAGCAGCTCTTCATTCTAGTGTTGAAGAAGTGACTTTTTGATCATGAAATCAGAAATCTGAAGGGGGTGGAGTTAGAAATAAAAAGGAGGGTGTTAAACTTGGAGGACCAAACAAGAAGATGATGAAAGCAAAGAAAGTTTTGAAGAAGAAAAAATAGAGTTCCTTTGATCAGGTTTTGTTCTTCTTATAGTTTCGGGTTTTTTGTTCTTCTTGTATTTTATACAGGATCATTGCCAAGGTTCTCTCTCGAAGAATTAGAGTAGTTCTCCCTTCCATAATCTCACAATCTTAGGGGGCTTTTGTGAAGGACAGACAATTTATTGATCAAATTCTAATTGCTAATGGAAGTGTTGAGGAGATGAGAAGGACTAGAAAAAAGGGCTTCATATGCAAAAGAGGAGATGGCATACTTTCTTTGGGAGCTAGGTGAGGAGAAGGACCATAGATTTAAGTGGGGAGTGGTTAGCAGAGGTAAGAAGTTTGGTGGGTTGGGGTTAGGGAACATCCAAAAGAGGAATGTTACTTTGTTAGGAAAATGGTTGTGGATATGTTACTTTTTACTTGCCAATTCAGGTTTTAAAGTCTTAAGGGTTCAGGACTATGGGGCCGTTTGATAACAACTGAAGATGCTGAACTGTAAAGTTATTGCTTTGTCTTTTAGTGAACAAGTTTTTAAGGAGGTTGTGGGTTCCTTAATGGTTGAAACTGAAATTGGATTGATCACTATACCCTTGAAAGTTTTATTATTTATTTATGGGAAAGTTCCCGATAGGTACCCTGTACTTTAGGCCGAGTGCCAATTTAGTACCCATACTTTAAATCGCGACAATCTAGTACCCGAACTTTCAATTTGCGACAATTTAGTACCCGGTGTTAAATTTCCGTCAGTTAGAAGATGAAAAAGTCCTAAATACCCCCAGCTCTTCTTCTTCCTCCCGCCTAGTCCTCGATGTTTGCACTCCAAGAACAGTTCATCCACCAAACATATGGCTTTATTCTTGAAACCTGACGAAAGCCACCATTTCAAGAGTCAAGACCCTGAATCTATTTGTTCACATTTCTCTCAAACAATAACAGAGTAACCAATGGTACCCATGAGGATTAAGGCATATGGCAACAAGTTCGAATTTCTCTTTCGTAACAACGTGAAGATGGCGACTACATGACAGGGCCCTCACCATATTCGAATTCTCCAGCTCTAACACCGGACCATCTATATTTTCTGTTTTGCAATGCGCACCAGAGTCTAAGTGGAACCCGTTTGCATAAGAAGAGGGCCTCCGCTTCGTGGACTCTCGTGTAGATGGTGTCCTCCGCTGAAAGCAGGATTGATTCCTAGAATGGCGATTACAACAAGATCTCCCATATCCATTCTGAGATGCCACTATGTCTAATCCTTCTCTACGGTTCAAGAACTTCATACGTGGATTGTTGCTGAAAACGGTTGGGGAGAAACAATCCAAAGTGTTAGGAAGAGTATGCAGCGATCTGGCCTAAGACGACATCTTGTAGCCTTAATTTCTGTAACTCGATCGCGGCTTGTTGCATCTGATGAAAAGAGAAAGACAGTAAGCCTTCGTTTGTAGAAGTTCGATTGCTAACGGATTGATTTCCTAGCATTGGTGCATCGTCGTAAGCGGGGGGGGGGGGGCAATGGAAGGAAGGAAGACTGGAGAGAAGGGTTTTCGGAGAGATTTAGATGGACAAATGCTGATTTGAGAGACAACGGTTGGGGGAGGGGTTCAAGTAAAGCATATCGAATGGATGATGAGTTGTTGAGATACCGATGAAGGAGACGGTCATAGTTTTTCGGCGAAGTTTGAGACATGACGATCGAAATTTCGCCCAACAAATTAGACTTATTTTGAAAAAATCTATACGAAAGAAAAGGGTTTACAGAGGTTTTGGAGTGTCTGGAGTGTTTTGGCCAAATAAGAGGCACCTCTGAACGTTCCCTTCAGAAGCCAAGAAGGCGGCATTGGATGGACTCGAGGATGTGCTCCTGGAACCACCGCGAAGAGCTCATGTGGAGTCGAACAAGTACTTGAAGAGGACCAAATTCTTGCCGGACTTAACAGGGGACTCGCTCGAAGGGTACGTGGTGATGAAAGCAGAAGCAGAAGTGGTAGAGGAGTTGATGAAGAATAAAGCCATATTTTTGGTGGATGAACTGTTCTTTGAGTGCAAACACCGAGGACTAGGTAGGAGGAAGAAGAAGAGATGGGGGTATTTAGGACTGTTTCATCTTGTAACTGACGGAAATTTAACACTGGGTACCAAATTGTCGCAAATTGAAAGTTCGGGTACTACATTGTCACAATTTAAAGTACGAGTACTAAATTGGCACTCGGCCTAAAGTATAGGGTACCTATC